TTTTTGTGCTTGGGAGATCTGCCTTCGGTGAATGAAATAGTACAACCAGTATGTGGTACTGTCTGATCTTATATATCAACATCGTCATGGTGCTATATTACGCTCAGTAAATCCTCGAAAACTCTGGTGACACTGACACCGGTCTAGTTGTCTGATTCCTCCTACGAAATTCCCTTTCGTCTCCACCGGGATACCGGATACTATCGGGGTCTTTTGAATCTGGGCCTGTAGGTTGTAGCCTTCTACGATTTTGGGCTAAGCAGAGTGAAAAGTCCACTGACTAGTTTGGCCCATCCGACCACAAAGTTTCTCACTTGCTCCCTAGGCCCTAGCTTTAACAAGCTAATTGCCAGTTGCCACCCGATCCTTAGCTAATTGCCACCCGTAATAGCTTTCTGAAAAGCAGAGATGTTTTTCCGTTCAAAAAAAAAAAAAACCTTAGCTCACCATAATAATGCACGCCGCCGCCGTCGGAATGCATCTCTCTTTCCCACCGCAGCTTGCAGCTCCTACATCCCTTGCAGATTCACCCCTCGCCATCCAACTTTCGCCCTGTTTGTTTGGGCTGGTTTGGCTTATAAGTCATGGATGAAAGTACTGTTGGCTGGTTTAGTATAAGAGAAAAATATTGTTCGTTGACTGATAAGTCATGGACTCATGGCTTATAAGCCAAATGCGACCCAACGAACAGGCTGTTTATCGCCTAAAAACCAATACAGGTTCAAACAGAACAGATGGGCTTGGAAAGTTTATGTCACTGCCAGCAATTGCATAAAACTGTGGTAAAATGTGGATACAGTAATGCTACGCGTCGTACGTTGTGCACGAGCAAATCATCGGCCGCTTCCGTAGGCCCACTGTCTCGTTGCTTGCGCTTTTACCATGTTTCTCGCTCTGTCCGTGAGTTTATTTTAGCTTCCTCCTCTGTCGCAGCACCTCGCGGCTGCCCCATCCTGGACGTGGACGCGCACTCCCCTCGCTGCTGCCGTGCGCCCCATCCGCCGCCGCTCGCTCGCGCCCCGTCACGTGTGCCACCCGCTCCCTCCCGTCACATGCGCTGGTGCTGGTGGTGCTCGCTCCGCCCCGTCGCGCGCGCCGCCCACCCGGCCGACCCAAGCCCGATGCTGGTGGCGGTGGTGCTCGCGCGCCGCCACTCGGCGCCAACTCCCACCCCAACGGCTGGAATTGACCGGCACAGGCTCTTTCTCTCTCCTATGTTGCAAATATATGTTTCAAGTGTTTCAGACGTTTCATAGGTATGTTGCAGTTGTTTTATATGGATGTTGCAAAAGTAGATCGGGGATATAACATATGTTGCAAATGTTTTAGAGACATGTTGTAAAAGTTTGTTCAAAATGTTTCATCTGTTCTAGACGTATGTTGTAAGCGTTTTGATCTAGATGTTGCATATGTTTCACACATATGTTGCAACAGTATTTTCTAAATGTTTCATCTGTTCCAGTCTTCCATTGCAGCAAGTGTTTTCATGTTGCAAGTTGCAAATGTTCTATCTAGATGTTGCATATGTTTTCACAAATATGTTTGCGAGTGTATGTTCAAGATGTTTCATTTATTTTCAGACGTACGTTGCATTCAAGTGTTTCATATTGCACGTATTTCGTGCTGTTCGGAGAGTCAGGGGGCACAGGGGGAGTGATGGTGCAGGTGCCGGGGAATGTGGCATGGCGAGTCGATGGCCAGCGAACGTGGCATGCGGGGCGCTAGTGCCAACGGTCAGGGGCATGACAGGGTAGGATGCGCCTGCAGGGTGGGGTGAACGGATGGGGTGGGTCAAATCGAGACGGATGGGGCAGATTGCGAGCGAGTCATATGGACACGACGACGGCACGATGCGCATGCGAGCAGGGCGAATTAGCGTTCGGGAGGCAGGTTGTGCAAGTGCGCGCGGAAAACGGCCGTCCGACGTAATCCTATCTCGTCGGACGTCTGGCAGCGGCACGTCCACTTCTACAGTACTCATTTTGGTTTCTAGCATAAAATTTCACATGGATACGGTACATACTATCGGCCCTGTTCGCTTCGCTAATAAGCCAGGCTGAATAGTAGTGTTCGCTGATTTGTTATGAAAGAAAAACATTGTACCAGAACCGAACGTCATCAGGCACCAAAACATTGTGAAACGCCCATTCTCCCAGCTGAAGCAAATATTGCACATGAAGATTGCAACGCCTTCACCATGCTCTTAACAACTCCGTTCATGAGTGCACATAGTTTTACATAGGCGTTCTTGCCCAGAGATTCAGTAGGGGGGGGACACTCGGTCACTATGCCTCCAGAATGAACACAGATATAAACCTCTGTAACCTGACTACGCATCCACCCTATCCTTGTTCATTTCCTGTTGTCCATGTCCATAGCTACAAAATGTTGGGTAAGTGGCAGCTGTACTTCAACTTGGGATGTGGGCAGAGCACTTGCTGCAGAGCCATATCCAGTCACACCCTCACGGAACAATTCGTCGTACATCAGGCACATGAACTAATATATGGCACGGGCAGAAGACCATTTTGGTTTCCCCCGTGGGACTTGGCTAAGCAGGGGCAAAATAGTATTTTTAATATGGAATATATATTTAGATTTACCAAAGCTAGGTGATAAAAGTTAGCTAGGATACATCCAAACAGATCTATCTAATAAGTTAGCTAATCTCAACACAGCTGCCGATTGTAAAAATACACTTTTGCCCTCCCACCTATCTCTATCCATATGCCTCTCTGATAGTAGATAAGAAAGAAAGGACATTTTAGATAAAACTACCCATGCATCCACCTTTTATCTAATGGATCCAAATAACATTTGGCTAATAGTTAATCAGCTAATAGTTAACTAGTTAATATTAGTGTATATTGTTTGTCACAAAAAAAAACTAGCTAATATTAGCTGTGACCTATTCCATGGACAGGTAAACCAAGGAGGGCGACGGGGACGTGTTGACACCACCTGCACATTGGTGGTAGTGGAGTGGCTCACCGCATGGCCGCCCACGCAGGCATGCGCTCAGTGCTCTGTTTCCAACTTGGTTGTGTGCACAAGAGATTTCAACAATCTGTACAAGACATCAACACCCAAATTAAAGTTAGTACAGCATGAATTGCATGCATAAATATGCACAATGAAATTACAGAATATATGGAATCCGTACCTGTCTTGTATTGTCATACCACTTTCCCCTCTACCATTAATTTGTGTCTACATCCAACTAACTAGTTGACATTCTCTTACATTGTGCCCCAATGATGCATCAGAGAATTTTGGTTGCAGGTTGAGGAGAAATCCTCATTGGAATGGAAGTAATCATAAATTCGTTCCCAATAGTTGCTCCTAGTTTGGTTGGTTCTTTGACAAGATCCATACTGACATTGATTGAGTCATGTTGACACCAATAGTGCATCTTCCTGCCCGCTGAAATTCTTTGATCTTGTCTGATTTGGTGTCTCAGTGGGTGCTGCTCCCAGATTGTGACAGTTGCTCTTAAGGTTGGTATTCAGTTCAAGGTAAAGCAGTGGGTTGAATGACTCGCTCATCAGATTGAAAAATAACCATTGCCTTCCATAGTCTCTGATCATGCTAGAGATATTGTCAATCCATGTACTGCACAAGAGATGTTTTGCAAATAAGATGACAGACACCAAGATGTTCATTTTCTATTCTGTTCATGATCATGGAGAATAAGATGACAGGCAGTTCATTATGACCTTGCAGTACAAGTGCAATATTCTGTGCTTTCAACATGTGTCTCGACATGAGCATTTGTGTACAGGAAAGTGCAAATTTTTTTGTACAAGCAGCCTAGGTCAGAAACAGAGCACAAATAGAACCAATAGAAAAATTCAACTATGGACAAAAAGGATAAATGACAATACAGTTCAGGCTTAGCTTGAATAACCAGATCTACTGGTTCTCTATCTAGTGTCAAGATAAAGAGAATGATCGCTCTAAGGAAAACTTAACATTCTAAAAAAAATCATAAAGCATTGCTCTCAAGGTAAACTTAGTATGGCAGGTACAGAACACATATAAACATAACATGTGCAGTATAATTGTCAATTGCAGACATACAGGAATGGTCGAGTTATTTGGCTATTTGAGCAAAGCTGTACACCATACTGATTTTGTTGATTGAAATTTTCATCTCACATGAAAATCACCATTAACTTGGGCGTGTTTGGTTGAGCGCCTCACAGGCAGCGACTGAGCCCCAGGCGCTCGAAATTGAACGGCTGGGGACGCTGCCTGCACCAGGCAGCTCCGTGCAGGAGCAAACCAAACACACCATTGGTCCCTTTATTGTCACAAGGCACCAAAAGCCATTGATTTCTATTTTCTCAAAGTTCATCACGGTAAGCAATCTAATAATCTTCTTGTTTCTATTTCTATAGAAAACTAAATGACAATTCTGAGGTCAAGTCTCCAAATTGTTTTGCCACTGAATTATGTCACTGAGATGTGGCTCAACGAGTTATATAGCAGGGCAAAAGAACTTTGCTACAAGCCAACAAGTTTATCAGATGAGCAATCATGTGTTTGTCAAAACAATTGCCAAACAATTTCTAAACTGATAAATGAGGGTCATCCTATTGCAGTAAACAAGTTATAAAATATATACTAATAACAGGATGCTCTGTTAAGTGGAGAGCAAAGAAAAATTGTTGGATATCACAATACTGCATAATGAATAAAAACTGATAAGAAAGACCTGCATTCACACTATGCAATCCAGAAATGAGTGGCGATTCTCAAAAAAGTTGGCTAATCTTTGGCAAGATGTGGTATCCCCTACCTTAAATTACTAGGCAGAAGAAATAACAAGTTTCCCACTATGCAGCAGAACAGATTCTCTCATATCCTCGTTTCACATGTCTACTTAAACAATCTCAACATTCAGGGCAGCCGTGCATCTTTAGTTCACAACTTTTGAAAGATCTTGTCACTTTCTGGATATTTTTCACCTCCAGCTGCAAACTCATGAAAAGGCTCATTCAGCTCATCCAACTCAAGCCTGTTTCTTTTGAGACTCCGTGGAGTTTCATTACTTCCCTCACCTCCTGAGCATCATTCAAGTTATCAGATTTCATGTATATCTTTGATAAAAGCACAGATGCTCCGTCATGATTAGGATCCAACTGCAAAATTTTCTTGGCAGCAAATGCGCCGAGCTTGAGATCACCATGCATCCAGCATGCTGCTAAAAGAGATCCCCAGATAGGCACATTAGGCCCTAAGTGCATTGACTCTATGAGATTAACTGCTTCTTGCATAAGTTTAGCCCTTCCTAGAAGATCCACCATACAACCATAGTGCTCATGCTTGGGTTCAATCCCGTATTGTTGAACCATAGAGCTAAACAATGAACGGCCTTCATGAACTAGACCAGCATGACAGCAAGCATAAAGTAAATTAAGAAATGTCACTTCATTGGGTTCAACGCCTTCATTTTTCATCTGCTCAAACAGACATAAGGCAGATTTTCCATCGCCATGCATAGCAAAAGCAGTTATCATACTTGTCCAGGTGATGACATTCTTCTGAGGCATTTCATTGAAGATATTAAATGCAAGGTTAATACCCCCACATTTGGCGAACATATCAATAAGAGTATTGTAAATGTTCAATATCTTATTCAACCCATTATTCTTAATGAAGGCATGGATCCATTTGGCTTTATCGAGGGAACCTAAACTAGCACATGCAGATATGACACTTAACATGGTAACTTCATCAGGCCTGATACCACACTCCTGCATATCATTGAACAGACTCAATGCTTCATTAGGTTGGTTACTATCAGCATATCCTGATACCATAGCACTCCAAGATACCACATCCTTCTCTGGCATTCCATCAAATATAGAGCGAGCAATCTCAACTTTTCTGTTCCTGGCGTACCCAAAAACCATGGCAGTTGATGATACCAAGTCCTTCCTTGGCATCCCATTATATAGCTTTTCTGCCATCTCCATGTTCGCACAAGTAGCATACAAATTTATGAGAGCACTACTGAGGTGAGCACTGATAAGAATGTCTGACACCAACATGTATGAGTGGATGGCTCTCCCAGTTCTCAAATGCCTTATATGCCCACAAGCTGATAGAACAGTAGCAAGGATCAATTGGTCTGGAAGAACTCCAGAATTCTTCATCTTAGCAAATAGAAGCAAAGCTTCTTTGTAGTTCCGAGTCTGACAATAACTGCCAATTGATATCAAAGAGGTCTATAACAGTTTGTATGAAAAATGCAACTGCCAAGTAGCATGTAGAATGGAGAATACAGACTAGCAGCAAACAAATTATTTGTAAAGATGGCTGCATTAGACGGAATTTTGCTATTCATAGACTTTCAGCATGGTAAACAGAGATCTTTGAAAAAACAAAATACTGGGAATCAATATGCCATTTGTCAAGTATATGAATCATGGATAATGCACAGAGTATATTCTACTTTCTTTAAGGTTCCTTGATTGCACCACCTTGCAAATTACCAAGTTATGTTAAAAATGGAGAAATCTGACAAGAAACACAGTTTTTCTAAAGGTTTGAGATAATACTTAATGCCTTCCAAATTTGAAGACAGAATTACTATACTTCACAAACTGGGCAGAGCTGATCTGAATCATCTGATTGAATGTGAACCTAATTAACTTGGCACGCAACATCTACTTGTTCCAATTTTGACAAACAATTGCAGAAACAAACAAGTTCGCTCAAGCGAGTATACCTATCAAGCATGACGCCCCAGGAGACGACGTCCCGCACGGCCATTCCGTCAAACACTTTCCGCGCGTCCCCCACACATCCGCACACCGCATACGCCCCGACCAGCGCGGTTCCGACGAACCCATCCTCCAGTGACCCAACCCTGACTGCCAGCGCGTGCGCGCCTCCGACGTACGCGCCAGCACCCTCGAAGCGAGCAGCGGAGCGGAGTAGGGCAGGAAGCGCCCGGGGCCCCGGTGGGGGCAGGCCGGCGTGGCGGAGGCAGGCGCAGGCAGCGAGCACGAGGCGTGGGATGGAGGCGGCTGCACGGATGGTGGCGAGGTAGGCCCGGTCGGGGTCCGGGTGGGTCGCCGGCGGCGTGGGGATGGGGTGGCCGCGGCGGAGGAGGACGGCTTGGAGCTGACGCAGGTGGTGGTGGTGCATATGCGGGTCCATTTTGGAGTGCCAGTGTCTCGTTGAGCCGTCCGATGGTGCCTTTGGATGGCCGAGATTGATTAAGCCGTTGGTAGTTGATTGCTGACTGCATAATAATAAGTGACAATTATAGTATCTAGAAGGTCTCATAATGCCTTAAACTCTACAAATAAGTTCGAAACGTGCGTAAATGACAATATAAATTGTTCAAACATATAAGATACAATCTTACATAAATAGAAGATTTCAATGCTAGTCTAAGGCTTTTTCTTTACGTGCATCTTTTTAGCCAATGAGATATGATGTGTTTGCAATGTATTCTTAAAAAATCTTACCATTTCTTGTCACTCTCCAGACCCAAACCATAAAGGGTCACTGGTCATAGTAATCACTGTCACCATACAATTCAATAAATGCCATGAAACTGGCCGGCATCCTATGTCTCTACTAAAATCACAATTCACAGAATACTTTGCAAAAGACAGGTACAAGAAACGTCGTTTTCTGTCCCGGAGCACACTATTCCTAACAGCATATCAGAAACTCTTCTACGTGGGTGGTATTCATATGCTGAAAAACAAATTCACATTTCACCATCACCAATTACTCATCAGAGATGCAGAGCAGCAGTCAGCACTCTGCGGAGGCAAAGCGCTTTAGAATTTTTTTTTTCATCTTTCACCGATGCAAACAAATTCCACTCAGTATAGCATATCATGCTATTATTCCATCTTAGTTTCCTATGCCCTAATAAGAAATCAAATATTGCAAATTGCAATGCAATTATTAGAAACTAGACAATGGCATTCATATGAATGAAAGTCAGAAATTGATACCCGGTTACTCACAACGATCTTGGGTCTGGCCTCTGTTGATCTTGGGTATTTCCTCTCTTGCTTGTGGCTCTGGCCACTGTCTGTGCCTCTGAACTCTCTGCGACTATGCAGCAAGACAGCAACCGCCAGCCAGCACACCAATACTGCAGCCTGCACCCTTCACCCTGCACCCTGCAGGAGCAGCCGAGTAGGCAAATACAGCAGGAGCAGGCGAGCCGCGAGCCGCGAGCAGACGAGCAGGGCGGCGGGTGCTGGCCCGTTGGGGGCGACCTGGCCACGTGGGCCCGGGCAGCGCCCAGCGCCAGCAGACAGCAAGCAGCACTGCAGCAGGGCGCGGGAGGCCGGGGCACGAGATCTATCGGCGCGCAGCTAGCCCAGGCCGGCAGGTCGCCGCACGCGGCACGCCGCTGATGCCTCGATGGGAGGCCGGAGGCGGGAGCGCCGAGGGGGCGAAGGAGAACAGAGGACTAGAGGAGTGGCCGCCGCCGCTCGAGAATTTCGAGTCTCGACTGCCTTTCCTATGGGCTCTTCGTGGGCTCAATCGAAGGCCCCGTTCCCGAGGGCCCATATCCGCCCCTAGATAGCGGCGGCGGCGGCCCAGCGGGCAGTGGCAGCCCGACCGCGCTGAAAGATGGGACAAACAGTGGTAAACTCAATGTTGTTTCTTATAAAAATCGGTAATGCTCGGTAGCGGATGTCCGTCGATCCGGACACCGCGTTCTGGACCTGCGTGTACTGGCCTCTGTGTCTCTCATCTCTTCTCCCAAAAATATCTCCCCCTCGTTCTGGTCCATAGCGTCTTGTTTTGTGTCGTGCGCTCGCAGTTGTCGTCTTCCCCATTGCGCACCCCATCTCACGTCGCGTGGCTCCCCCATCCATCGCTGCGCTCCATCCCGCGCCAAGCCCCTCCATCGCCGTGTCGTGCTGCATCCCCCGCCGTGCCCGCTCTAGCTCGCTGCGCGTCGCACCCCTGCTGCGGCGCACAGTGCCCTATCCCGCGCCGTCGCCGTTCCCCACCAGAAGGTCGTGGCCACTATCGACGCCATGGCTGCCGTGATGCGCGACCTTAACAAGGAGATGTTGTGATAAAAGCACATGTTGGAAGCGTATGTTCCAATTGTTACATTTCAGAGGTACGTTGCAATCGTTTCATATGGATGTTGTCAAAGTAGATCCGGGGATGTTGCATGTGTTGCAAATATTTCAGAGGCATGTTGCATGTGTTTTAGAGGTTTGTTCAAAATGTTTCATTTGTTTCAGACGTATATTGCAATCGTTTTGATCTGGATGTTGCATATGTTTTACACATATTGAAACATCCTCAATTTTCCGCGAAGGGAAAATTCCACAGAATGATTATAATATGATGAAACCAAGAACTGATTCTATCATATTATCATATTTCAGTCGATGTCACAGTCATACATCGTAAGATTACAAGAATACAAGATATTACATCACTGGGGAACAGACCTATTACAGAGTTAATCTAGCGGAAGACTATCGAGTGAAGGCTCCTCCTTCACGGGTATCATCAGAGTTAGCGTAGTGCACTGTAGATTCCATCTCCGAACCAAACTTGAGCGTAGGCACGAGACCTCCTAATCCTTCTAAAGTCAGCATCTCTGAGAAGCAGGAAATCTGCACACCGCCAGATGTGTGCAGGCCATGGTCAGCACCGATGAGCTTTAGTGGAAAAAGATAAACAAGGGATCTGGCGATCCTAATATTTGGCTGTGGTTTGTATTCTTAGCGCATGAGAAGTAAATAACAATTGTATCATAATAATAATATCCAATTTTTAACACATTCACCACCACACCATCCATATCCATCCACCAACCATCCATCCCAAACCATCTCACACCACCACACCATATCTCATCTCACACACTCAGGTCGACAGGCCAACTCCCTCTCGGCCTTGTCTCAACGGCCCGCAGCCCCCAAGGCTCACGACCGAAAAAATACCCCAACCCTAGAGGGAGGAAGGAAGGACTCATCTCCTATCTAATTTAAGCGAAACCCAGGAAAGGTCCATAGCCGACAAGTCGGCATATGTATCGATTGATCAACCAAACACTCTGCAGAGGTTTTATATACCCACAAGATAGCCATCCTCAACGGTGCCCCGTCTAGGCAGATTTCGGCCGCTTGCTAGCCTAGAACGATGCCACCCTACCTCTCAGCCTTGGAACACCCCAAGTCTAGTCTGGGATGGCTGATACTGTGAGTCATAGACAGAGCAGGGGCCCTCCGGATGTCAAGAGCCGGGTCCACAAGGCCTCCTGAAGTCTCGAGAAGGGGGGGGAAACATGGCCCCATACCTCCTTGCACACGTTCGCCTAGCAGTAGTGGCATCGCTCTACCAAGTAGTCCGACCATCCCGCACCATATAGGGCGAGTGGGATGTAAAGGATTCCCGGTGAATCTGAGTACTAGTAAGTCCTTAGGGATGACCAAGCCAGAATGTCTTCATCAGGGTTTCCATTTTACGTGCCACCACAGAGCACCTCCACCCTGGGCTCCTCCCATCACAGGTTCATACCCAAGGCCACCTCCAATTACCATTTACCCGCCACAGGTATTCCATATCCAAGTGCCCAGGTAGCACCACATGGCAAGACTCGCCCCAGGCTCGTCGTTATTCTAGCTCGGTCGACACAACCCTCACTCTCTACGCACCCAAGACACACGCAGCATGCTCACACATCACCAAGTCCGGCACCCATAGCCAACCATTCCTAGGGGGTTCACCACTAGCATCACATCCTCGATATAATGCGAAGTGGAGTTAATAATAAGTATAGTGGTGTAATATGCAAGCAAGCAGGCAAGTAAGCATATATAAGCGAGCGAATGCGCAAAGCAGGGTGACGTGGTAGAGTGGGTTGCATTAGGGTAATAATGGCTCAGGTAGTAGCATGCATCAAAGTACTAGCAAAGAAATAATTTATAAAGCGCTAGCAGTTCTAGATATTATGCAATGTCTAATAGGATTCTCTAAAAGAGGGTGCTGCCATGACACCTGCGATGTAGAGGTAGTAGTGGTACAATTCTCCATTCGTTGGCGTTCCATTAGCAGGGTCTCCTCCTCCTATGTTGACTCCATTCCGTAGTCCTTGTCGTCATCCATGTTCTCTTGGTCCGATCGTCAGCTACTCCGCGAAGCGACACACAAGGCAAGAGAGCACTCAACGCTCGAAAAGACGACGAGACATAGGAAATCCAATAACGCCATCGAGACAATAAGAGATACACGGCTTAGCCCTCTCGGTGGTTGTCCGATTTCCCCAGGCCAAGAATCACAAGTGGTGGTTTGCTAAGCACAAGCTTAAGTCATGGCCAAGCCGGTATGGCTTTACGATAAACGGTTTAAGCTAGAGCTTATCTAGAGCAAACACCATGGTTCACGATCTTTCGATCCAGTGTCATTGACTTGACGGGGATTGGAAGTCGGGCCCCAAGAAAGAAGAACGACGAGGTTCGGCTCTTATAGCCTTATCCCGCAAGTCACAATTGGACACGAGTAGCAAACAAGAACGATAACACTATTGTGACTTAGCTCCAATGTACTTCGGCTCGCCCGCTATGGTAGAAAGCGGTAGCGCAAAGAGATTGGACAGCAACGGGTTCTCTCGATCCTCACGACATAATAACGTCGGGAGCTGAGAAGAGAGTTGCTCAGCAAAACAAAAGAAGCGGGGGTTAGCTAGGCACATCCATGTCATGTTCTCAGACACATCTTCGGGAAAGATGGTTTTAGACGGCCGACCGGGTCGACACGCACGGGTCCGAGGTACGACATAGACTATAGCTTCGCTAGCTAAAAAGAGATAGTCCCGTCTTTGATCCAATCGCCATGGACAAGACGGAATCGAACAGAGCGGGCTAATGGTGCAACAAGAGCAAGAACAACAAGGGACAAGGTCTACTTCTTCCATCACTCGCGCCACGACGAAAGACGGGGCATTGGAAGGAAGCGACAAACACCAAGTATGCAAACCACTCGTAGGGTACCCGGCTTAGGTGCACTGGCACTAAGACATCTCTCTAATTCATAGCGGTGCGATTGTCACCGCGGGAATCAAAGAGATGCGATGGTCATACAAGGTACAAGCATACGGGGGTTTGAGCACGAAGAGGCAAGTAAAAGCAAAAGAGTGGCGTAGCTCCATGGTCATG